TGGTAAAGATATTCTTGTCTTTTGTAATCCAAAGGAGGTGGTGTTAACACTAAAATAAATAAAGCTCTAATTTCTTCCAAAATATCTGCTTTCTTGGTTTTCAATAAATTGAATTCAGCAAAAGGTCCATTAGCAATTTCCTGAGCTTTGACCACACCAAAATTAATTGCTTCAAAAAGAAAATGTTGATATTTTTGTATACTTGGTAATTTCTTAATTCCCAAAATAGCTTTAATATCTAAGTATTGAAAACTTTTTCCACCTTCATAACATTGAGCTTTATTTAATCCTGTTGGACTAGACTTTTTTACCACTGCAACCACATGATCCAGACAATCTATTCTTGTTCTTCTGTAGAGTTTTTTAATCATGCCAAAACTACCATCACATTTGAATTTGGTATGTCCAGGAATCATGAAATTCAATTCAATATTTTCATAATAATCACAAATTACTAAATATAGATAAAATCAAATAGTCACATTATTTTTGTTTTATTCACCAGCATTATCACAAGTAATCTTTAAATGCTTTTCACCTTTATTCAATTTCTTAATTCCATCAAAAATCATGCTAAGAGTTCCATTAGGACCTTTTCCTATAATTTCATCTTCATTAAGAACATAATTAATTTGTTCCCTTACTGCTTCATCTTGAATACCAAATAAATGAACTTTACATGGACTAAGATAATAAATTTTACTTACTTGTTGATCTAAATGAGGCACATGAACATTTTGAGCTTAATTATAACTATAATGAGCAGTAGCATCAATACTACAATATTGTGTTTTACTCTTTGGATAATTCTGATTAACCAGTTTTCTTTGCCCTTCTGCCAAATTGGTATTTTTATTATAATAATTTCTTTCTACTTTGGCTTTAGACAGATATTCTTTAAATCTTTTGAGTAATTCTTTAGATTTTTCCTCTTGGAGAGCATTATAATGTAAACCATCTCTAAAATGTTGACAAGCATCACACAAATCAGTCCTGGGACTCATAATTTGAATCTCTGGTGTCAATTGATGTCATAATTTTCTGAAAGCATCATATTTTAAGGATTTCAATTTGCTATCTTCTTCTAGACCAACTAGAAAATCTATGTGGACTGATTTATAACCCATTTCAGCTGGTAAAAATATAATTGATTGAGTTATTCTATTGTTACTTCTTCCTGGACTTGGTAATCCATGAACTTCTGCATAATTTTCCAGAAAATTCTTTACTATATGTATCTTCTTTAATTGAAACTTTTTTGAAATTTTGGTTGACTTTTCTTAATTATACATATGTGTGGGTGACTCTAAACCAAATGATCATGGTCGATAAAAATGGTGAAGGCGAGAAAGACCTTCCCCACCAAGATCCATTAATAATTTTCACAGGGGTGGCAAACAATGACTCTTTTGTTGAGAACGAGGCAATGGGGATTTTGTTCTCGATTCCGAGCAAGTCCAAGACAAACAAGAGCAACAATAAAAATTATGGTGATGAAAAAAGAGATTGAAAAAAGTTTCGAAAGGGTGAATAAGAAAGGAAAGCATGTTGCTTCTTCAACCCCCTCTTCAACCTCTCCGACCTCTTTCAACTTACTCGACAACCGTTTCTGTTCCCATCAGCTCTTCTTCTACTACTTCAACTGCCACAGATACTCCTAATTCTAAGGGTAAAGAACGAGCTTATAATTACATGAGCAGATGTTCAAGAAATCTAAAATGAACAATGGACAATTAAAATATATTCAATTATTTATTTTTTATATTTCATGTTATACATGTATTTTCTGGATTAATGAAATAAATTATAATAATAATGAAATGCTATCTTGAAAAATAAAGCCAAACATAAAAACTGCCATCTGCCAGTTAATCCCTTTTTTGAAAAAACTGAAAACATCACATTAATATAAATGAAAGTAAATTCCACATTTGATGTTATTAATTGTTATCCTAAGAACAGTATAATCAAATAATCGATTGTTCGCGCGATGATGAATAAAGTGAAAAAAACTATTTAAGAAAATTTAAAAATCCCCATCTTAAATTACACCCAGAAGATGTTGAAAGTTCTAACACCTCTAAAAAATTTAAAACAGACTATTCTTTTTTGAATTCATACATCCATAATAATGAAATCAATCAAAACCTTTCAAATGCTCCAAGTAATGATGATGCTGGTAATGTCAGCAATAATAGATTTCGCCAATGATAAACGGTTTTGGAAGAGTATAAAAGATTGGAGGCTGTAAGCATTGATGGGTCGCAAAACTAGTGATGTTAGCCGATAGAAAAACCTTAGCCGGCTAAGAACTTAATAAATCCCAGTTGACGAAAAAACCTTTTCAGATGGTACTAAGCTTGCCGGTATTATTATTACTACTACTATCGTTATTATTATTATTTATTATTGTTATGATAATATCTCGCCTTTAATGGTTCAAATTATTTGTTTTACTTGTTATGAATTTGAATATCCGAATTACATTGAAAGTTTTATTCGAATAAACGAATAAAACGAATAGAACGAATAATTCGAATAGAACGAATAATAATAATTCGAATTAAAATAAGAATTTGTATTACGAATAGAACTCAATGACTTTTATCCTGCTATGATATATTGTATTTTGCTTTTGAGTAAATGAATGTTTTTTTTGTCATTCTAAGTAATGTAGGCGGACCCATCTCAACTAAATGTCTATGCCATTAAATTCTGCACTAAAATTCCAGACGTAAAAATGAATGTCAAGAGAAATTTTTTTAACCGGATAAGCCGTGTAAGCCGATAAATTTCTTAGCCGGCTAATATCACTATACAAACCTAACAACATTGTAAAAGAAAAATATGCTTTGTATTGAAAATGTAAAAAATTGAATGCAATGTATTAAATTTTCTTGGTACAGTCAGAGACTCCTATATAGTCGCATCCTATATAGTATAGTCACATTTTTTTGTTATTTGAAAATTCCCTGCTACTACATCGTAAAAAAATGTTCTGTATAGTCACAAACACTATAGTCACCAAAATTCTTGAAATTTCGCTAGATCTCGAGGTGTGTGACTATATGGGAGTCTGACTGTAATGTGATGATTACACGAACTCGCAGCAACCTATTAAACTCTTGTTATTATATATTGGTATCACACGCTTTTAAGCAAAGTTTTTTGTTGGTATGATTATCATAAAAACATTTCTAAAATCAGAATAATTAAATTTTGGATCAGGCCATGATAACCGCTATTTAAAAATCGTATGATACCAAGTGAAATTGTGCAGATTTTTGTACAATCATATAAAATTTACACAATAATATTATTTTATTTACTATTACATATCAATATTTGAGAAGATCTTTTGAATATGCACCACACACTCAGGGTTTTAATATACATAAAAACTTTTTTTTTGTAAAACATAGGGATAATTATAATGATCATGCAATCAATTTTGTGATCAAATATCGTCAATTCTTTCTAAATTGTTATAATGTATGTTTCACGGATTTAATTGAGGGCTAATTAAACTCCACGAAAATCATTCCAAATTTGAAAATTTGCATTATTAAAAAAAAAGGATGATAAGTAGTTGTTTCAGATTAATAAATAATTTTCAAAAAATCAGGATGCTTAATACTGATGTATTCGACCACTTGGCCAAATCATTGTTTCGAGTTTTTACAAGCTCAGAGAATTATAAATTTCCATTAATTGACTCAGATTTAAGTAACGATATATTGGAAGAAACTTTACCAAATCCATCCTCGATATTTATTTCTACTTGCAATTTAAAAAGCAGAGAATCGATTTCATTTGAACAAGATGTAGAATTGGAAGAAACTTATGAAGACTCTCAGAATCTAATTTATTCCAATATAACCAATATAATTAATATACGTTCAAAAGAGATAACCATAACAAAAAACATACAATCAACAACACAAACACCAACAGCACATTTATCATTATCATTACCATCATTGAATGGAGTTGATGGTGGTGATTCTTTGAATCTAGAAAGATTGAAGTCGCCAATAACTCGTATCAACATTTTTGATTTTGATGGGACATTATTTGCATCACCCAAGCCTAATCCAAAATTATGGAGTAAAACATTAATTGGAGTTTTGTTAAACCAATTTACAGATGGCAAAGGTTGGTATCAAGATTCAAGATCTTTGGATCTAGGTGAGCCTACAGAGTCAAACAAGTGGAATGAATGGTGGAATAAAGGTCTACTAGACAATGTCAAAGAATCAATGAATGATCCAAAATGTTTGACAGTTTTTCTGACAGGTCGTTGTTATGCAGTTTTTAGTGAGACCATCACTAAAATGTTGGAGGATATAGGATTACGTTTTGATGTTTTAGGCTTTAAGCCAATTCATATGGCTCTTGAATGGAATCTTGTTTATAGTCAAAATAGTGTTAAAAAATTAGGCATTGATTATTATAATTATATAATTAGTCAACCATGTGATCTAAAGCCTCCAGCATCTACAAAAAAATACAAGTTTCTTTTTATAGATAATCTGCTTAAACAACATCCATTAACAGATTCAATTCATATTTGGGAGGATAGATGGGAACATATTAATGCATTCAAAAATTTATTCTCCGAATATAAATCACAGAATATCATTAAAGAAGGAATTGTTCATGGGGTTGAAATTCCAGAATGTTATTATGATCCTCATAAGGAATCTAAAATAGTAATGGATATAATTAGAGACAACAATTTAAAAGTTAGTAATGGTATTTTATCTCGTTATTCCAAAAAAATAGATTTATTTCGCAGAATTCAATTTTTGGGGATTTTTATAATACATGATCATGTTAAATTGCTATTTGAAAACTTCCCTCCACCTAAAAATAAGGAATACAATTGGTCATATAGTTATCCTTTTGTATTAATAAAAAAATGGCCAAGTTGGAATTATATAAAAGACAATGATATTAATAGCAAAAGAAAAAAGATTGTCACAATGCGAATTACTGCCACGGCAATTGTTTGGAAACAACATTACTGTCTGAAAGTTGAAATGGTAGAACCAAACGGACAATCAAAGTTGGAAAATGGGTTTTCTCATAGTGAATTATATAGTGATTATGGTATAGAAATGGTCAGACTTGCCCATAATAAAGGATTATCAGATTATGATTACGATTGCGATGATAATTTTGACTATTTGACGTACAGAAAAATTAAATGGAGACATATTCCAGAAAGACAGCAAATAACTATTCAAGGTGTTGTTGGAGCAAAATATATTGTTGGCTGCTAGATAATAACGATTAATAAATTAATTGTATTATATAATATAGGATTTAATAGAATAATTAATAGAATGATTATATTGTTTATTTATTGTACCATTCATTAGATTTCAATAAAAATATATTTTAATAATATTAATAAAATTGTTATGTCTAAAATGTATCAATTGCATAGATGGAATTGATTGATTGTACTAAAAGTATGAAATGCCAGTTTTTCTGCTGCTGATGATCATCACCATCATTTCTTACTTTTTTTCTTGAGTGACCTAAAATCCATGAAAAAATCCACATATAAAGAATATTTTTTCATAATATGATACTGATCATCTAGAGTTATCAACAATTATAGCATGCGTAACTTCTAAATGCATCTGGCCCTCCAGTTTGTGTTAAAGCAAAAAATTAAACCGATAAATTTGAAAGACTGCGGAATGTTCATTCAACTTATCGGTTTGCTTTTTTGTGCTGATATAGTTTTATGAAAAATTATTAGAGTTTAAAAATGGGCATTTTACTAATTATTTGTAAAGAATTCGACTGTATCTTTTACAGGGGTAGGGTTATAACCTGTCCAATTGGAATACCTGGGGGTTTTGATACAAGATCAGGAATATTATCAAAACTAATATATGCTTAAATTCTTTACTTGGTAGACTCTCTAAGGATATTGATCGTTGCATCAGCATATCTAAAGCTTCTATATTTAATGAATTTCTCGTCTCATTTTTGATGAGAAACCCTATTTCACGATTTGTAGATGAAAAAGGATCATTATATTAATTAATTAGTTTAGAAATGCATCAGAAATAATATTTTTTGTCATAATTATCTAAAATTGTTTTAAAACTATATAGGCAACCCGTTAAACCGAAGGCAATTGTGCAGTAACTTTTCTTCGAATTAACGGGGTTTTTTATAATCCAAAGTTATTATTACGGGGTAATAAATTTAAAAAATTTAGGATTTAGAATTCAATGATAAAAAATAATCACTCTTTTTTTAGAATTTCAGAACAGTAGTTTCACTGACATTATATTTAGATGCAAGCTGGTTATTTTTTTATGTTTGGGTCTTTATTTTTTTCAATGCATATTTCTATTTTTTGTAAGATTTTTATAGGCGCATGTTTTCTTTTAATACCCCAACTTCTTTTTCGGTAGATTTTTTTTCCTCTTGTTTGCACTAGAGGAAAGTCTACCCTGGTTATTAATTTTTGTACATTTTGTGCGTGAAAATGAAATTTATGTGAATTTGCAATTCACATTATACAACATACACATGTATTTGTATAACTTGTATACATATTAATATGTATTATTATTATTGGCCCGATTTTTATTTCACTTCGGATTAACGGGGTAATTTTACATATAAATGCCTTCAAAAAACTTAAAAATTTCTTCGGTTTACGGTTTATAAAGTTTTATTAGTGACATTAATATTAACGCGGTAATTTACATATGTTTTGGCTTTGGTGTTTTAAAAATTATTCATTTTAACGGGGGTTTCGGATTAACTTTTAAAACTAAAGCAAGTGTTTAATGCAATTTTTTATTTTAGTATAATTATTTTATGGTAAATCACTGTATCACGCAAATAAACGATTATTCCATGACAACAAGTTTCTATTCGAATAAAACGAATAAAAACGAATAGAACGAACAGAATGAACAGAACGAATAAAACGAATTGATTCGAACAAATTAAACGTTTTTAAATGACTAAATTGCACAATGAATACAATGAATACTCAGTATACGTACTTATTATACATACTTTTTTATTTATTTACCAAGTGTGAGAGTAGTGTGGAGAGTTTTGAGAAAAAGCAGTAAAAGCAATCAATAAAAAATCCTTACATATCAGTCGGACAAGATTTCGCGTTTACTGATTTTACTATATTAATATGATCGACATAGCACAACAGGCTTTGAAGGAAGATTTGAATACGAGATTATAAATAAACAATTTTTATGCTTCTAAATAAATAGAATCTTGTGCTTTTGTTCGTTTAAATTCAATTGATTTATGCTTCAAAATTATAAGTAAAAAAATCAGCACAATCCATCGAAGCAACAAGATGTTCTATCTATATATGGAGAGATCAATAAAATTGAGTAAACAAACCATCTCCATACTTTCATCTAATTTTGATTGTTTGTGAGTTAATTGGTTTTGTTGGTGGGAGATGAAAAATTGATTGGTGACTATTTTGTGGGTAGTTGATAAATTGGATAAATCATAGGATAAAATCGAGAAGAAAGAGTATTTTTTGTTGGTATTTTTTGATTGTTTTGGTTGTTCAATATCTACTACACCATTATCCTGAAATTTTATTATTATTATTATTAGTTTTTTGAAAAATAATTTTTTATAAACCTTAAAAATATATTTACAATTGCTCTAGCTCATGCAGATAGATGGGTAGACTCTAATTCAAGATGAATAAATACCACCAGAATCAACATAATAGAGTTTCTGGTGTTCATTACAATAATATTTATTTATCTCTTATATTTAGCACAAGTTTTGTGGTCTGACATTATTTTCATTTAAATCATTTTTTTTGGTGATTTTCTTTGATTGATTAATTTCCTCGTCATATGGTCTACATTTCTATTACTGTAAAAAATAAGAATGTTTTAATGATAAAACAAGTACATTCATACATATTTGTGTAAATAATTAGTAGATCATCTATCTTTTTTTGCTAAAGTATGTTTTGTGAAAAATAAGTATATATACTTTTTGTAGGGTGGAATCAAATGTTTCTATTTTCAATTTCCATTTTATTAAATTTTTTAGATAATTGTTAAAGATGAAGTTTGCATTCATGCTTTAATATTTCACATCCAAGGTATGTTTCTAATTGCTTTTTTGATTTTGATATTTATGGATCACAAGAGACTTTAATTTTCTGCTCCATCAGCATCACAAGTTAGCATTACAGCAATTCTTTCTTTCAATTTTCTTCCAGTTATTGATGTTATGAGCAACACTCTAGAAGGCTCAAATTGCTAAAATAAACCTGTTTCCTTTGTGTTGAGAATGTCAGAAAATTGGTATTGACTTGTAATATTTTTTAGTTGTTCACTATATGATGGTAATTCTGAAGTGGGCACATTACCAGTTTTACATACTCTTTAATGTTATATCTTCAAATCTTGTTAAACAGCCATCCAATGCTTTAAAATCATTTTTATTAAGAATCCCAGCAAAATTATCTCCTTTTTCTTTTAATATTTCACCACTAAGATCTATATTGGCATTAAGTGATTAGAAGAGCAATTGTATTTTAGGATTAGAAAATTTAAATAAAATATTGAAATTTTTATGAGAATCTCACAACATCAAGTTACTTCTTTTCTTTTTGTTATCAGAATTTATTATTATTAAACTTAATAAACATAAATTTACTAAATTAAATATTAATATTAAAAATACTAAATCAGAAAGAATTTATTATTAAAATGTAAAAATTACTAAATTAAGAAAAATGCAAATTACTAAATTAGATTTGGGAAGATCATCGATGTCATGTGATATATAAAATCGGCTCGTTATAAAAAGGGACGTTACAGAGAGAATTATTATTGTTATAGATTAGAATTTGTGTCATCAGGATAGGCATTTGATGGGATTTAGACCAACATTGCATGTGCATTCAATCCATTGTCAAAATGGCGAATAGCAATTTTGAATTATTTGAATCTTTAGAGTTTCGAGTTTGAATAAATAAAAATGTTTATTGTTACTTTGAATATAAAGGGAGTTCTTCCGTTTTTATTATTATTAAACAGGTTTTTTTTATATTGAATTGAATCTTATTATGTAAATTGTTTATATAGATTTTATTATTATTTAGTTAAACAGATAAGCTTGAGTAAATTAATTAAAATCTTATTAAATGGAATGGATTCAAAGAGCAGAAATAAAACAAAAATTTAAATTTGAATTCAAATTATTATTTTATAATTATAAAATAAATAAATAATAATAATAATAATAATGAACAAACTAATTAATAATAATGATGATGATAATTTAACAGTTGCGCCTTCTTCAAATACTAAAACAACTATTTATTCAAATATTAAAACAACAATTATTTCAAATTCTTGTACATCAAAGTCCACAACTACAAATTTTGCCGACAATCAAAATCATCATCATTTAATTCATAAAGAAAATTTGAAAACCACATAGTGATAACAAAAGATGAATTCAAATTAAATTTATTGCATTTAATAAAAGAAGATAATAATGATAATAATAATAAAGTCATATATCTTCAACATGGATTATTTGATAGCACAGATACTTGGCTATTGAATGGGCCAGAACACAGTTTATCATATACAGTGAACCCTCCCTAAGTGCACCCTCCCTAAATGCACGCACTATGTATACCCTCCATAAATGCACGGCCCATCTCATCCCCAAGCTTATAGAGAGCTTATAAAATCACCCTCCATAAATGCACACCCTCCACAAGTGCACGCTCACAAGAAATAGCACTATGTTCCCGGGGGGGTGCACTTATAGAGGGTTCACTGTATATTGAAAGATAATGGATATGATATTTGGTTGGGTGATTCACGTGGTAATCAGTACAGCAAGCCATCTCCTTCTGATGAATATGATTTCAGTTGGGATGAAATGGCAAAATATGATTTGCCTGCTTTTATTAATTACATCAAGAAACAAACCAATGTAGACAATTTATCATTTATTGGTCATTCTCAAGGTAAATAAATAAATGGTCTTATTATATACATTAATATACATGATATATATGATGTTGGGTGTAATTAAGGTTTCTGGTCGAAACTGCTTCTATTAGTAGCCGAAATTGCCCAAATACTTTGGGCAAAAATTATTTTTTTATAAGCCCAAACTACTTTTTGTTATTAGCCGAAATTGGGCAAAATTATTTTAAAGTTGTTTAAGTTAAAACAAGTTGATTCATATAGTTTTTTAATGTTCATGCTTATAGAAAATGTTG